AAAAAAATCAATAAAAACATATTTTAAAATATATACTTAAAGGTCATCCTTGCTACCAAATAAAGAGCAGACAGACTAAGCAGCAAGAACAGAGAAGCGGGAGACGTCAGGAGGCCAAGCACCGGTGGGCGGGAGGTGAGGGTGGTGAGAGGTGGACGCAGTCAGGACACATGCTGAACGAATACTTTCTGAATGAGTTAAAGAGAGCTCACAGCTGCAGAGTGACATCCTCCCAAAGAGTACATCCCAGGAAGGGGGAAAGGGACAAGGACCTTCGCCAGATGATCTCGGCCAACGTCACAGGTAAGTCACGTTGATGGCACGTACCCTGGATAAGATGTGAGGACCATGGCACTCTGTGGTCTTCCTCCCCCAAACCCCAAACCCCATCTAACTGTAAGAAAAACATCAGACAAATCCCAAGAGAAGGGTATCCCAAAAATGACTCAACTAGTACTCTTCAAAACTGTCACAGTCATCAAAACAAGGAAAGTCTAAGAAACCATCAGTGCCGAGAGCAGCCTAGGGAGCCATGACAACTAATGTAACACGGGGTCATGGATGGGATCCTGGGGCAGGAAAAGGACATCAGGTAAAACTAAGGACGTCTGAGTCGAGTACAGACTTCCGTTAATAATCCTTCATTACTCTTGGGTCTTGGGCTGTGATAAACGTACCGTGGAAATGTAACACGCGAACATCAGGGGGAACAGCTGTGGTGTGCAGACAGGAGCTCTCTGTACTACCTTTGCAACTTTCCTGTACACCTAAAACTCTTCTAAAACCAGAAGATTACTTTTTTTAAAAAAGGAGAGAGAGGACCCGCAGTATTTGCTGAGAGATCGGACGTCGATGCATTAGACAGAAGACAGTCTCTTGAAAACTGGAGACTGCCAGGGGTCACGGCCAAGGTTAGGCTTTAGATTGAAAAACCGGGTGAACGTCGGTGCCAATTTAGGGTGCGAATTCAGGGGATGAGATCGAGAACTCTTCTGGCACTTCCTGTCTACCCCTCGGACACGGGCAAGGAAGGTGCAGACACAGTAATTAATGTCACACTGCTTTGCGGGAAGGTGCTAAGTGGCCCACTCACTGTTCTGTTGCTGCGCATCCCAAACGCAGATGTCCTTCCAACTCTACAAGCACACGTAGCCTTGGCAGGACACCGGCACCCGAGCCCTGCTTCCAACAGCATCTTAGAAGAATTATTTCCAAACCCAAGGCAAGAGAAAAATCTGCATAAGCTTAACTGACTCTATGAATAGGCCTGATATAATTAGCGTTATGACATATTTATTTCATCCAAGCAACAAACACACATAATAAGAATGAAATTTCATGGTCTTAAACCTAGCAGCTTTTCTAATCATAATCATTGCAACCGTTTTCCCCATCTACTTCACCTCTCTTTTCCCAAAAATTTCGTAACTTTTTATCTTTCTAAATGTTTAATCTTCATGGATATATTATTTCCCTATGAACAATAAACCCATGGGGTAGAAATGACAGGTGTCGTTAACCCCACAAGGGGCAACATGGAATAGAAGAGAGAGCATCTGTGCCTTGGAAATGGACAAATCTAAGCCCAAATCCTGGTTCTGCCTCCCACTGGCCCCATGGCCTTGAACTACTGGCTTGACTCCAAAAGCTTCAGGTTCCTCAGCAGTAGAACAGAGAGTATCTATTTGCAGGGTTGCCATGCAGATTAGAAATTATAAAGCCAGGCTCTGACCCCCAGCAGTCAGTCTTCTGGGACCTAGCAGATGTGCAACAGACGGTGCTATTAGTAATGACCTTCATTTTATAAGTGATATCAGAGTCACAGCATATGGCCTGAGTGATTTCTGAACGCAGCACCCACGCCACACCCCGCTCTCGGGTAGGGTGCTGGAGAAGTGGTACAGTGACAGACGGGACCACCTAGTTCTCATTCTGCTTCCACGCTCCCAGGCAAGGGAAAGGACCGTGGGTTAGACAAAAGAGAGTCTCTTGAACAACTGGAGAAATGCTGTTGGATGGCAAGAGGCTGGATGGGCTGACATCTGGTAACGAAAGAAAGATAGCTCAGTGGCAGAGGTCAAATTATTTTTGGCAAATACCATTTCTGCATTTTAAAATAGGACAAGATGAGTTGTTTATTAAATCCGCTAATAACTGAAAGCTGAAGGGAATATACTGCATCAAATGGTGAGGATCCAAAGCTAATGTAAACTTTGGCAGCATTAATAAAGGTATGCTATCTAGAACCAGGGAGGTGGTGGTCTCCCTCTAGTCCGCACTAGTCAGACCCCACCTGCAGTAACATCTCCAGTTCAGGGCCTCACATCTGAGAGGAATAAACCAGAGCACAGGCAAAGGAGAGTGACCAAGATGATAAAAAGAGGCCAAATGAGAATGGTTGGAAGAACTAAGACTGATCAACCTAGGAAAAGAGAAGTCTTGGAGAGCACAACGCCTGGTCTGTGCAACACCCCACCTATTACTCAGTCAAGTTTCAGGTTTCTAGGTTCACATCCACCCCCTCCACTCCACCCACCCCCTCCCTGCTGACAAACTCCTTCCAGACTCCTCTGGAACATCACCTTCTTTGATGTTTTCCCAATTCCCTCAGGCACCGAAAGTTGTCCCAACCGTCCTCCACACATGCCCCACTCAGGACAGACGTCTGGAGAGACCCCCACAGGAGGCTGCATAACTCATCTGCCTGCCTGCCTGACTCTCCCTGCGGGGACCCAAGGGCAGTACCTGGGTCCTCCCCATCCTCCTCCCTGCTTCTGTCAGGGCTGGGCACAGAAGAGGCACTTAGGAAAGGTTTAAGGACTGTGTGAAGGGAAGAAGAAAAAAGAGCTGGATGGTGAACGCTGTGAGGGCAGAACTGTTCAACCCACGGGAGAAGCACCCCCAAATCAGAACCACCTCCGGAAGAATGCCCTCCGGCCTGACATGGAGATTCCAGTGGCATGCTGGGGGGTCTCCAAGGACATCAGACCAGGTGACCGCTGAGGATGCTTCTCATCCTGTTCCTGCAATATGTGCTCAGACCAGACTAGAGAAACACATGCTAGGTTTTGAGTGTTTCTTTTTTCCTTCCTTATTCTCAGATCTCAACAATACTATGCGTCAGAAGACATTCAAATATTCTTCATGAAAGAACACAATTCCAATCAGTGATAAGGGTAAAACATTGTGTAGTATAAACCCTGAAGTTTTTTTTTCCTTTTTTGTAATGCAAGGGCCTGACTTAAGGTCTAATTTCCGAAGCATCCATCTCAAATCCGGAATAAACACAGCGCCAGCCACAGGACTGCAAAGAGCCAGGCTACCGCCCCCTTCAGCAGCTCCTTGGTTTTAGAGAGTGTAGTTGATTTCAGTAATGACATTTGGGCTATTTGTTTACTCTTCCTGTGCTTTAAAATTGGCCCTTACATTTTAAATACCCCAATAAAGCCCTGGCCAGTTTGGCTCAGCAGTTAGAGCGTCGGCCCACGGACCAGAGAGTCTCGGGTTCAATTCCCGCTAAGGCAGTGGGTTCTCAACCTGTGGGTCGCAACCCCTTTGGGGTCGAACGACCTTTTCACAGGGGTTGCCTAAGACATAACAGTAGCAAAATTACAGTTATGAAGGGGAAAAATAATTTTATGGTTGGGGGTCACCACAACATGAGGAGCTGTATTAAAGGGTCACGGCATTAGGAGGGTTGAGAACCACTGAGCTAGGGGCACGTACCTCGGTTGCAGTTTGTCCCCGGCCCTGGTTGGGGTCATGTGGGTGGCAACCACTCGATGTGTCTTTCTCACATTGATGTTTCTCTCTCTCTCATCGATGTCTCCCTCTCTCCTCCCTCTCACTCTATCTAAAGATAAATGCAAAAATGTCCTCGGGTGAGGATAAAAATAAAATAAATTCACCAATAAAAAGTGAGCCCAGGACACTGTAGGCCGCCCCCTCGCAACCCCAATAAAAGCAGAACTCGGGCCCGTGCGTACATACTCTCTCTTCCAGCTCGCTGTGGGCCCAGGTGTGCGGTGTACTGACCAGGTCTTGTAAATAATAAACCTGTATCTTTTTGAAGTTTCCTGATGGTTATTGCTGAAGGATGTCTTGCAACTGTAATAAGAACCACAGGGGCTGGTCCAGCCACAACACTGCTTGTGACAGACTGAGGCCAGAACAAAACGCAACCATCCGAAGAGTTCCTTCCAACCAGAACTCAACAGGCTGCCACTTCCTGGGGCCTTAGGAGAAGCGATGTCACTGCTCTTCGAGAAATGAGGGTACAAACGGCTGCCGGTGAATCTCCACTTAACAGGCACCTAAAGTTGTTTTGTTTTTGTTTTTTTAAAAAACTATGTTCTGAGTAAAAAGTTTCAATTATGCAAGATAAGTTCCCAAAATCTACTATACAGCGTGGTACCCATAGCAAACAATACTGTCTTACATACTTAAAAACTGCTAAGAAGGCCCTGGCCAGTTTGGCTCAGCGGTTGAGCGTCAGCCTACGGACCAGAGAGTCCCGGGTTTGGTTCCTGCTAGGGGCACATACCACAAAAAAAATAAATAATAAATAAAAAATAAAAGTAACTCACTGAAAAAAAAAACCTGCTAAGAGGCAGATCTTATGTGAAGTATTCCCACCACACAGAGAAATAACAGTAATAACAATAAAGGGACTGGAGGAAACTTTGGAAGGTGATGGAGAGTTTATGGTCTTGATGGGGGAAACGGTTTCATAGGTGTATACTTATCCCTAAATGCATGGAAATGTATACATTAAATATGTTCAGCTTTTTACATGTCAATCATACCTCAATAAAGTGGTTAATTAAAAGAACGATCTTCCAGATAGAGTCATTTGGAATGGCGCAAAATCAACTCATTCATTCAGCCACAATTTTCTAAATGACATCTATGTGCCAGGCATGAGGCCAGGTCAGCTCACAACTGGTCCTCCAATGTCTGAGAGACTGGGGAGGAAGGATGAAAGGTCCCTGTGCCCTTACCCGGTGCTCATTGATGAGCAGGTCCCGAGCAGCATTAAATATCAGTGTGTGGAGGTGCTTTGAATAGAACACCAAGGTGTAGTCATAATCAAAGCCATAGATCTCAATGTCCGACAGGCTCATCTCGTTGTTGGAGAAAATGGCATCCGGGTTCAGCAAGTTGCTCATAATCGAAGGAACCAATTCTAGAAGTAAAGAAAAAAGAAATGCATTCGGTATGTATTTTATACAGCTGACCTCACACTGTGTATATAGCTTTGTATTATGCTCTCTAAATTTAATATTCTATAATGACTGTATTCTTCTATATTACAGACTTTCTGAAAATATAACTTTAAATCATTACATATAATTTATATCAAATCAACCTATTACTCTATGTTACACATTTAGGGTTTTTTCCTATTTTAAGAAATAACACTGCCATCAGTATCTTCATAGGTTCATCTTTACCCTTCAGATTATTTCCTTCAGATGGTTTAGTAGAAGTGTGATTAACCCCAGCAATAGTTTTGAGTTTATTTTTTTAGCAGTTCTATGACTTATACTCTTTCTTGGGGCTTTTCCAAAAACCGCATTCTACCTTACCATTTCTGTGAGTCCATTAGACCCTTTTTAAAATCTAAGATGCAATATGGGATATTAATGACCTTATTTTTCCAACATCTTGACACATTTTGCTATTTTATCATTGCAGAAGTTATTTTAACATTTCCCATCAATTATCCCCACCGATGATTTTAAAAATTACTACATTAAGCAAAGAGAATGACAGGTGATTGCCTGAGATGGTACAATAGTGAAAAGAACCCCCCGTTTTCTCTCTACTGTACCCTCCTTCAGTTTCCTCCACACAGCCCAAAGCATTACCTCATCTTCCAGAAGTCCAAAGATACCATCTTTGCAGTCATTTTCGCATTCATAGAACACAGCTGGAGATGCCTAATTTTCCATACGCCACCCATCACGGCGAAGAGAACAAAGCCGACGGCGTGGCATGCAGAGACAGAACACGGTCCTCTAGCTTCCGATGACGATGCAGAAAATGATCACGTACATGAAATCTAAGACTGTGAGTCTCCAGTGACCACATCCAAGATAAAACTTAGGATCAAAGGCCACACAATACACAGGAGTAGGCAAAAGTAGGTTAGTAATAATAACAAATAGTACAATAATGAATAATAATACAAGAATAAACTGTTCTGTGTACTCACAACTGTAAACCTACTTTTGCCCACTCCTGAATTTCTAAAAACAAAAAGGAAATCTGAAATTCCCATTGGTTTTCACAGGTGACCACTGAACAGGAAGAACCTCATCATGTAACATTTTGTGACAGGAACACAAACCAACTACTTTGCTAAAAGGACGTGTAAGGCATTCTTTCGCCTTTTATGACGTCTGTGCACCAGAATTTACTTGAAATAGCTCATAAGCAGACAACTGCTGAAGGCAGGTGACTTTCTGGAGGCAAGTACAAAACAACCAACAACACAAAAACTGAACTGTCCATCTCCTACTACTAACTGGAACGGTCTGCATGTCACTGGACATTACTAAGGACACCCTCCTGGTCCCACTATCACAGCTAAGACTGATTCAGCACTTAGCCTGTGCTACATGCTGTCATAAGCGTTTCATATTACCTCAATTAATCCTTGTAGCAAGCTTCTCAGGCAAATACTCTATGACCCCGTTTTATATATCAGGGCCCTGGTCACACAGAACCATAGAATCTGCTGAAGGGCACACACCCCCTAAATGGGTGGGCTGTGATTTGAACCGGGAAGTCTAGCTCCAGAATCTATGCCCATAGCTCCCTTCCCCAGGATTAGGGAGCCAATAAGCATTGGAGAACAGTGCTTTTTTTTTCCCCCCAAACATAAAATGAATTCAATCCTTCATAATGTTGGTGCTTTAGAGTCTACGGTGCTTCCCCTTCCCCTTAGTGACAGCTCTGATCAGGGGACAGTCCCAGCCTCAATTCTGAGCATTTCAGAAGGCACCTTACAGCTTTGGGGCTTAGATCCCTTAGAAAACCTAACAGAAGCTATAGAATCCTCTCTCCAGAAAAATGCAGACAGAGATTTTGCAGAAAACGTCAGGGAGATTGACCCCTGAGGCCTATTCACAATCTCCAGTTAAGCTGCCACATGACACTCATTTCACACCAAGCATTCACATCCCCACCTGGGATTTCCCAGCCAATGAAGGCAAGTGTACGAATGAATGAACGAGTGAATGAATGAACGAACAAACGAACGAGTGAATGAATGAACCGGTGAATGAATTTCCCACTGACAACCTAGATATGGCTGACTCCACTGAAAACCCAAATAGTCAAGGTTCACCAATTCCGTTTCTTCAGTGATTTTGACAACGAAATCAATGAGACAATAACCTTGGGGTTTTTTTTCTTTTCTCTCTCTCTTGCAATCTGAGGAAACAGTAACATTTTAAGAAACCTGAGGGTAGACAGGTGACAAGAACTTGTCCTGAGGAAGGGAAAGGCTGGCAGTCCCGAGCTCTTCTGGCCTTACATAATCAGATGATGCTATTTCTGAAATGGCCACGTGACCCTGCACGAAGTTAGGCAGGATCACTTACAGAGTGCCTCAAAGCTCTACGTTCACCAATGAACTTTCCAAGAGAAGTTCTGACAGCCTGTTTAAATAGGAAGCTTATATTTAGAACCGGCCTTGACAATGAAGCCTCTCTCCCTTCCTACTATCTAAGAAGAACATGTGAAGTTCTCAAGGAAACACTACCACGGTAGAAAATCACGAATAGCCAGCACACCTCCGAAAGCTGCCCTGGAATCTCCCCCCGAGGGACTGCAAGCCCGGGGTGGATGAACCCCAAGAACATCATCACTGGAAAACTTGGACATTTAATTTCTCATCACTCAAAATAAACAGAAGAACATCAGAAGCTTAAAAGGGATCTCAACACGTCCTGCAACCACTTCAAAACTGGGCTCAGAATAAAACAAATACTCACAAGGCAAAAGAAAAGCCAGCCGCTCACAAGGAGTGTGATTAGACTACACTGTAAACTAAAATCTGAATGGAAGGGCTCTTGACAAGTCAGCGATGCACTTTCCCAAAGCGGAAACAAGAGTGGTATGAGTTTAGAAAGTGAATTCCTTTCGCACCTAATGGACGAGGGCAGCAAGACTATACAACTGTACAAAGAACTGGAGGGCGGCTCTGCCGCTCTGGCCAACGCTCCGGCCAGAGCCTGGTTCCCACACAGCCATCCTGAGCTGGAAGCCCAGAGCCTTCAGGGGACAGCGCAGCAGGTGGGACACCCACTGGCACACTCGGCTCATCCCACGGAGCACTGGGAAATGTAATGAGCCACCTATAGCAAAACATGTAAGCTTCCTAGGAGGGTCTGTTTCTCATTTTTATTGTGGTAAAAAACATTGCTTAAAATAAAATTTACCATCTTAACCAATTTTAAGTATGCAGCTCAGATGTTAAGTTCATTCATACTGTTGCGCAACCATAACATCAGCACATGGGACTCCAGAACTCTTTTCATCTTGCAAAATTGAAACTCTGGACACATTAAACTATAACTCCCCATCCCCCACACCCCCGGTCCCTGGCAACCACCACTCTACTTTCTGTCCATGAATTTGACTATTCTAGGTACCTTATCAAAGGGGAATCATATTGCATCTTTTTGTTTCTGGCTTATTTTATTTAGCATAATATCCTCAAGGTTAATCCAAGTCATAGCATGTGTCCAAATTTCGAAGGCTGAATAATATTCCACTGTATGTGATCAAAGCACATATAGGAGGCAGCCCATCAGTGTTTCTCTCTCACATCAATGTTTCTCTCTCTCCCTTCCTCTCGCTCCAAAATCAATAAACATATCCTCAGGTGAGGATAATAACTTTTTTAAAACCATTTAAAAGGTGAAAATATATATAGATTACTATTTTTTTCATCTCTGAATAGAACATAACTTTCAAAATGTAAAAGCAATAGAGTACATCACCAGATAAATATATCAACAGGTTTACAACATGAAATTTTTAAAATCTGTGTATCTAAAAGTATCAAATCAGCAAAGGACTAATATCCTTAATATTCAAAAATCCATACAAATCTGTTAACAAAAACAAGACTCCAACAAGTAAACAGATAAAGGATACATCTCACAAGAAAGGAAATTATATGACTAATAAACATAAATGTTCAACCATTCTAACTATTTAAAGAAGCAAACTAAAACAGTTAACAGTAGCTCTCTCCCAAAGGTGGAATTACAAGAGGTTTTACTGACCCTATTTACTTACTTCTCTAATAAGTATGTGTCACTTGGCTAAGAAATAAAAGATGACATTTTCCTCCCATCAGAGTACAGTGGTGTTTTTGTTGCTATTCTTGTTATTTGTATGTGTTGATGTTGCTGTTATTGTTATTTGTGTGTGTTGTTGTGTGGCTTCTTGTCTGTAATGATAGAACACGGAGCCGGTGCTGAAACTCGGCAGCCTCACTCCTTGCTGTTTAAGAGTATGAATCTGTCCGAGCTTTCTGGAAAGCAGGTTGGCAATAACTACGAGGAATCTTTTAAAAATATTCATAGCCTTTGACCTAGTAAGTCTCCTTCTAGGAATCTATGCTAAGGAAATGCTCAGAGATGTGGATAAAGATTTACATACAAAGACCTGCCCACAGTGATATTAAGTGATATTAATAAAGCTAGACCCGGAAGAAAACATGCCTTATTCAGAGGCCAAAACATACATCGCAGATATCTGAACTCAGGAACCAAAACGTGCTAACACGAATATGATCAAACAGAAAAGCCGAAATGCATGGGAAAATCCTGGAAGTTTGATTTTTTTGATAAGGCACACCACAATCCCAAAATCCCAAAGACATTAAGATGGCATTCTTCATTAATTAAATATTATTAAGATTCATTCATTAAATTAGGGTTTTTCTTTTTGCTATGTGCCCTAGACTTCAAACTGTTCTCCCATAAAAAAATAAATAATAATTTTTTAAAATTTAATTAAAAGGATATACAAATCTGAAAAAGAAAAGAAAGGGGAGGGGGGGAAAAAACTTTTTTCCTAGAGAACTTTAGAGATTACAACAGGAAAGCCTTCGTTTCCACCCATAACGCGCCATCAAGCTCTCTGTGAGTCTTCCCAGGGCTC